CCCCCCCCCGGGGCAGTGCTACTGACTGGGGTGTCTTTAGGCCATTCCCAAAAGGGGGGTATTAGCATGTTCTTATGCGCAGTAGAATTGTAAATGGGCTGGTTTATCAATACCATGCTCATAACTGCCTGAACTGCAACAGGAAAATGCTGCTTTTTCTTTCCTCATCCTTACTATCGTCATTTTCCTCTACTTCTTTTGTATGTTTGTCACACTCTTGTGAAGTGTCACAAAACTCGCTATTTCAGGGGTGCCTTGATAGTCGAAGCAGACTTTGTGCTGTTGAGGCTAGAGAGGTGAGCATAGTAGGTCTGATTCCCTGAAAGGTCTTCTCTATTTACATCCACCCCTTGGCGCTCGTATGACCTTCTGCAGTTACGAGCGCCATAAAACCTCTACCAAAACTAAACTTAATTAACACAGTCCATGTGCAAAAAAGGTTTCGTGCTCTACTTCTTAGCAAAATACTAATGAGCTCATGTAATGTTAGGTCAAGGTTTTGCGTGGAAGTCTTAAATACCACGCAAAACCTGGTATTTGTGACTGCTCTGTTTTTCAATCTGTTAGGAACCCTTTTCAGAAGATGAGTTTATTGCAAAGATTCAATAGATCTTATTATCATCTTATACTTTCGATGTCCATTCCACCGATGCTGATGCACCTCAATACGCACATGAATACACTTCTACGTTTCTTTTATTTCGCACAATTTTTGCCTAGTGTAATTTTTAAAGATCAGTTTTGAGTGACCATATTTTCTCTGCCGATGCTTAACATAGATGAAATATTAAATGCATCAGATGACGAATAATCTATTTAGCTTTAAAGTGGTGTGCTGCATGAGTGGGCAATTCAAGGCTTTAATTAACACGATGATTGGGTGATTACTTTTTCAATTTTCTTTTGGACGCCACTGTATTATTATTCTGTATATAATATGAAAGTAGTGGAGCGGGTGGTTGGCGGGTGCTCTGGTGTGCATTGCTTCTTCTTTCCTATCAAACAGCTATCGTCATTATATCCCCTCCTCCTTTTTTTTGTGTTTGTTACTCTCTTGTAACACCTCTAGTCTTCGGCACTTATATGACCTTATTACAAATGCCTTAAATCTCTGACTAAAACTAAATGATGTCACCCCCCGGGGCAGTGCAACTGACTGAAGTGTCTTTAGG